AGGTCTTTGGCCTGACTGAGGCCCTTTGGGAGGCTTTAGGCCCCAGTGAGGCCCTGAAAAGGACTTAGGCCTCAGTGAGAACCTCAAAAAGCATTAGGCCCCAGTGAAACCCTGGGAAACCTTAGGTCCCAGTGAGACTGTGGAAAATCTTAGGCCCTGTTGAGACACTGAGGAAAATCTTTGGTCTTAGTGAGACCCTGGAAGATCTTGTGCCTAACCCAGTGAGAGCCTGTGGAAGGCTTTATGTACTGTTGAGACCCTGAGGAAGATCTTTGGTCTTAGTGAGATTATGGGAAAACATTAGGTCCCAGTGAGACCCTAGGTAAGACTTAAGGCTCTAGTGATGCTCTGGGGAAGGTCTCAGGTACCCATCCAGACTCTCAGGAAGGGCTAAGGTCCTGGTGAGACTCTAGGGAAGGTCTTTTGCCTCAGTGGGAACATCTGAAGGTCTTAGAACCCTGTGAGACCCTTGGGACAGTTTTAGGTCTTTAAGGCCTAGGATATCCTTATCAAATACTAATAGTGGGGCCAGCAAGAAGGCTCAGCAGGATACAGTGTCTGACAACAACCCTGATGACCTGTGTTTGTTCCTTGGGATCCACATTGTGGCAAAAGGAAACCGAGCTCTACAGGTTGAACTCTGACTTCCACACGCGGGCACGCACGTCACACACACTTGTGCGCTAACACATACACACGCAAATAAAATAAAATAAATAAGAAAAAATAAATGTAGGAGGAGGAGGACCTTGGGCAAGTCTGTGAACCTTATTGAGGCCATGGGGGTCATGTGAAGCCCACTGAGACCCTGGCGAATGCTTCTAGTCCACAGATCTCTGGAGAAGGCCTTACACCCTGCTGAGACCCTGGCATAATCTTTGAGAACCACTGAGACCCTGGAAAGTTCTTAAGCCCCATTGAGGTCTTGGAAAGGGTTTATCAGCCTCACTGAGACACTTTGACAGGTCTTGAGGCGTCTAAGACCCTAGGGAGGCGGTGAGAGCTCCCTTAGGCTCCAGAAGAAGGGTCTCAGGCTTCAGAAACAATTAGCAAGTCCCTGGGTCCCACTGAGACCCAAGGAGAGTCTGGAACCACATTGAAACCTTGAGAAAGTTCTTCAACTTCATTGTGATTCTGAGGAAGGCTGACCCTTCAGTGAGACCCCAGGAAAGTCCTTAAATCCACTGAAGCCCCAAGGAAAGCCTTAAGCTCCATTAGAGCCCAGGGGAAGTCTGTGAACCACACCCACGTGCTAGTGCAAATCTGAGGGAGGCCCTGAGCCCCACCCCACTGAGTCCTTGGGGAAGGTGTGTGCCCCATTCAGAGCAGAAACTTGCGGGAAGACTACGAATACCTTTAAAACCCTGGGAACACAGGGAAATGCACTGAGAGCCTACAGAAAGCAGTACACGCCACTGAGATCCCAGCAAGGCTCTTGGTCCCTTTGGGACACCGGGTCAAGCTGTGAGACCCCATGCAATCATGGGGAAGGTCCTGAGACCCAATGAGCCTCTGGTGGGATGGACTGAGTGTGAGTGTTCCCCATAGGCTGTTTTTGAATACTTGGTCCCCCAGCTGGTGGTGTCATTCTGAGACATTATGGAACCTTTCACACATAGGGCTTAATTGATGGACATAGGGCCATAAGGGTGGACCTTGGGGTTAAAGGCCAGGCCTGCTTCCAGCCTGACTCTCTGCTTCCTGGCCAGTGCCGTTTGAGGAGCCACAGTTGCAAGCTGCCACAGGCAGTTCCACTGTGGCACCATGAGGACCCTCCCGTGAAGGACTGTGTGCCCTCAGACACGACCCTCTCCTCCCATAAATTGTTTTGTCTTGTGTTTGGTCACAGGTATGAAAGGAGCCGGCATACAGGGCAAGGCTATAGTCCTTTTCAGATCTGGTGCTGTCTGTGAGACTTACTGAGGCCCTTGTGTCCTGGTTAATTTTTATTGTCAATTTGACACAATCAAGAGTCACCTGGGAAGAGGAAGTCTCAATTGAGGAACTTCCAAGATCAGACTGGCCTGTGGTCATGTCTGTGGGGAATTGCCTTGATTAATGTGGGAAGACCCTGACTACGGTGGGTAGTGCCATCCCTAGGCAGGTGGTCCCGGGTTGTATAAGAAAGCTAGCTGAGCCGGGCATGGTGATGCGCACCTTTAATCCCAGCACTCTGGAGGCAGAGGCAGGCAGATCTCTGTGATACTGAGGCCAGCCTGGTCTACATAGTGAATTCCAGATCAGCTGGGGCTACAGGGAGACCCTGTCTCAAAAAGACCAAGGAAAGAAAGGGAAGGAGGAGGGAAGGAAGGAAGGAAGGAAGGAAGGAAGGAAGGAAGGGAGGGAGGGAGGGGGGGAAGGAAGGAAACTAGCTGAGCATGAGCCGAGGGAGCGAGGCAGTAAGCAGCTCTCCTCCGTGGTTTCTGCTCCTGTTCCTGCCCTGACTGTCAATGTTGGACTCAATTGTAAGCTGAAATAAACTTTTTCTTCCCCAAGTTGCTTTTGGTTAGTGTTTTATCACAGCAGCAAAGAAGGAACTTGGATACTTAGGGAAGGCCATAAGCTACCTTAGAGCCTTTCTTCAGGAATGTGAAAGCCTGATGAGACCCGGGGAGACAGTGTGAGCCCCATGGAGAGTCCCAGGCAGGCTGGGCCTCGCTGCCACCTGGGGAAACCCTATGTCCCTTTAGGACCCTGGGGAAGCTGTAAGAATTAGAAACGGGGGCTGGAGAGACAGCTCAGCGGCTAAGAGCGCTGGTTGCTCTTGCAGAGGACGCGGGTTTGATTCCCAGCACCCACATGGCAGCTAACAACCATCTGTAACTCCAGTTCCAAGGGGTCCGATGCCCTCTTCTGACCTCCGTGGACATTGCAGGACCCGGGTGTGCTTACACACATGCAGGCAGTACATTCATACACATAAAATAAAAATAATAAATAAAAATTTTTAAAAAGAATTAGAAACGCCAGCCATCAGTATCAGCGAGTATTCATACGAGGGTGAGACCCTGTGGAGGCCACAAGGCCCATGGAGATCGTGGGCAGGACCATGACCTTTACTGAGACTCTGGGGAGACTGTAAACTCTAAGACCAGAGCAAGGCCTTATCCCCACTGAGAAACTGGAGCTGTCACTTGTGTCTCTTGGTGTCACTGACTCTAAGAATGTTCCTAAACCTCACAAAGTCTCTGAGGCACACTGAAACCCTACTGAAGGCCTCAGTCACACTAAGGCTCTGTGGAGGGAAGCTGAGCCATGTGGGACCCCCATGAAAGCCTTCAGGTCCATGGATCCTCTGGGGGGATGTCGCAGTTTCATTGGAACTTGGGGTAAGACCTGAAGCCCTAGGAAGATGCTGGGATGAGCTGTGAACCCACTGCAGCCTTAGGGCTGGGTAAGTCAACTGCAACGCTAACATGTCTGAGAGCTTCTCTGAGACACAAGCTAGGGGTGATCCCCCTGGATACCCTAGGGAGGCCCCCAAGCCTCCATGAAGGCCCTGCAGGGGGCTGGAAGCCTGTGAAGATGTTCAGAGTTGTCCCCGTGTGTCACTGAGTCGACAGGAAAGAGACTGAGCTTCACAGAAATCCTGAAAAAAGCCTTGAGTCTTTTAAGACCCCAAGGAGAGGCAGATGTGGTGGCAGGTGCCTGTGTCATAGCACTTGGGAGGTGGAGGCAGGAGGATTTTGAGTTCAAGATCAGCCTGGTCACACAGTAGATCTCCCATCTCAAAAGATAAAAAGCTCTACGGAGGTTGGAGCCCTCAGCAAAGGCCCTCTTGGCCTCCCTGTGGCCCAGAGACCCTGGTTCTCCCTCACGCATGGATCTCGCCTCAGCTCCCTTCCTGGACTTCTGTCAAGGTGCCTATGTATCCCCTACTCAGTAGGTCCACTGTGGGGTCCTGGGTGCTCAGAGTATGAATGACTGTTGGGTAAGAGGGAACAGGAGCAAGGGCCAATCCAGTGACTATACCTCTCAGAGTGCGATCAAGTCCAAATACATGCACCTAGACCAAGGGTTTTTGCTGGCTGGCTGCCAAATCAAAAACAGAGGGGGCTCAGGACTCTCAACCCCTCGAGCCAAATGGAAGCTAAGAAGGGTCTCATAGCTACGAAAGAGTCTAAACTAAGAGATGGAGGCAGAAGGCTAGGGGGCTCTGAGGCATGCATCTCTGATAAGGGCCTGCTAGTTTCTAGGTGCTTATCTTGGGATACTGGCCACTGGAAGAGGGTGTACCATGGGATGTCAGTCTAGCTGGCCCCAGAGTGGATGATGGGATATGGCTCTAGCCTGAAGGGGGAGATGGACCAGGGGCTCTAGCAAGAGAGGAAAGGAACACCTAGTACCTTGCCCTGAGCTCTGCCTTCTTCTTGCCCTTGTGGGTGAACTGGGTTCTCAGCTGGAGCTGAGGTTCAGATTATTTGTGGGGACTGTGACATGGTCCCAGGGACAGAGGTGCCAGGCAGCCCTAGCAACCAGGGACTGGTGTAGAAATTGTTCAGGCAAAGCGGTCAGGGGTTTGGAGGGCTCACTCTCTCAGGGAGCAATGGCCTCCACTGTGAACTGGATCATCAGGACATCAGGTCCCTCATTAAGACTCTAATGACCCCAGGTGCTGACGTCCACAGAGAGCTTCCTGCAGACCCAGCACCATGGAAGTGTTTGGAAACTGCAGCTTCAGCCCCTCTGGCCATCTGCTGACCCACCCCCTGGAGCACTTAATGGACCAAGCAGCAGAGCGTAGGGGCTGGGAGAAGGTGCTGTGGACTATAAAGCTAGCGGGGACCCAGCAGCCCTAAGCCTTGCGGGACCAGCTATACTCAAAGGCATCTGCGGAAACAGGTGAGTGCCCTCTATGCTGGGCTTGGCTCCTAAGTGGGACTCTGGGGACCTGAGGGAGGATGTGGGCTCCTCTCTTGCATGGGGAGTCACCAGATGGGTCACCTGCCCTCTCCGCTGGCTCCAACCCTGCCTGTCCCCCAGATCATTGCTGTTCTACTATGGCCCTGTGGATGCGCCTCCTGCCCCTGTTGGCTCTGCTGGCCTTCTGGGGGCCCAACCCTGGCCAGGCTTTTGTCAACCAGCACCTTTGTGGCTCCCACCTGGTGGAGGCGCTCTACCTGGTGTGTGGGGAGCGCGGTTTCTTCTACACGCCCAAGTCCCGCCGTGAGGTGGAGGACCCACAGGGTGAGCCCCACCCCACCCCCAAGTGTCCATAGCCCTGGTTCTCCTAACCCTCAGCACCTTCGGTGGGGGATGAATTTGGGGGATGAATTTCATCACGCAGATTGTTTCCTGGGTAGGAAAGGTCTCAGGGTGCAGGACATGGGAGAGGAGTGTAGGAGCCTCCTCTTCCTGCCTGCCCATGGTCTGTGCCGATGCAGAGGACAGGGGCAGGAGTGAGTGATGGCCCTGCCCTAGGACTTCTGGGCTGTAGGGCACCTATTTGGACCCCCTGCACTGCCTCAGGGATGAGATGTGTGGGTTCTGGAGCCCCGTGTAGCCACGTCCGGGGTCCTGCCCTCCACATGGGCAGCCCCTGCTACTTGGGCCAGCTTAGCAGGGGGACGGAGGGGGACACTGGGTGGACAGGCATCAGACACTCCTGACTGGCTCTTCTGTGTGTCTCTCTGTGCCGCTGTTGCTCTGGCCTGCTCTGACACTGCCACCCCAGCAGTGGGGCAAATGGAGCTGCCCGGGGGTCCTGGGGCAGGCAGCCCTCAGTCCTTGGCACTGGAGGCAGCCCTGCAGAAGCGTGGCATCGTGGATCAGTGCTGCACCAGCATCTGCTCGCTCTACCAGCTGGAGAACTACTGTAACTAGGCCTCGCCTCTGCCCAGCCTGCCTTCTTCATCAGGAATAAAGCCCTTGAATGAGCACTATGAGGTGTCTGTGTGTGGAAGAGGGGGCTGGCTGGGGTGGGCACATGCTGGCCTACCTTCCTGGCCATGATGGCTTCTGTGGGTCCTGCCTGAGACGGCCTTCCTGTTCCTCTTTACACCCCCAGATTCCCGCTGGCTTCCTGATGATTCACAGGTCCCCGCTGGACCAAACCCAGGGCACAGGCATACCCTCCCAGACTGCCCATAGCCCCCATCCTGAGGTGTCACAGAGGACAACCCCCGGCCCCACTGCTTCTGGGGCGGGGGGGGGGGGTGGACAGAGAAGAGCTATAGAGTCTCTGGAGAGAGTGAAGGCAGCAGGGAACTGACCCATCCTTGCCCCTCAAGGGCCCCAAAGAAGAGAGGAGACCAAGAACATTCCAGGGACAGCCCTCACCTAGCCCTCCTGGGCTCTGTTTTCAGACCTATTTTGGATGGGGTCCCGGGAGGGGGGTAGGAAACAGAAGCTAGGCTTAGAGAATAGGGTAGAAAAGGGTTGGAAAACTGGAGGCCAGACTTCTCTATGTGCCATCTCAACTCTGGGAGGTCCAAGGACAGCCCCAACCCTGTCAGACTGCCAAAGGGACCCACTAGTGCCCCAGAAAAGCCAGACAACCCACGTGGGTGGAGAGACAGACTGAAGGACTCCTGTAGGCACTGGGCAGGGGCCTGAGAACCCGGTTCCTCAGGGGCATCCCGTTGTGTGGTCTAGACAACACTGGCTGTGAACAAGTCAAAAGATACCAGGCCAGGGCTGGGGTCTTTAACACCTCCACCTCTCCTTCTAGTTAGGTGGTGCCTCTCAGCAGAGGACTGGCAGTCCCCCTAGAAGTATCCTTGGTTCTAAGGAGAAGACCACAGAGCATTCATGTCTCTGGGGAGTCCTGACACAGAGCACTGCTCTCCAAACCCACTAAGCACAGCTTGGGCACCACCTGTCCGGTAGACAAGAGCCTGAGGTTGCCAGGGGTGGCTGAGGTCTGAAAGGTCAGCGGGTGACCTTGGTCACCCTGAGTCCTGGACGACCTGCCAGACCAGTCTGTGCCTCCCTGAACGCTCCACCCGGGGGCTTCAGCGGCCAGACCCAGGGCTGCACTTGGACCTGGTGGCTGCAGGCCACTATTGACTGGCCTCTGAGCTAGGTACAGGCCTTCTGACAGGGACCCGGTGGCTAGGCACTGTCCTCTGGCAGCCCTGAGGACCCCTCCCCAGCCATCTTTCTCCCTGTGTCCATACCACAGCCCCACTTAGAGAAATGTCACAGGCCCCAAGCAAGCCCCGCCCTTGGAGTGGGGGCCAGAACTGGGCAGGCGGGTGGACGGATGGACGCTGGACCCGGAAGAGGAGGGGAGGAGGACCCTGAGATCTGTCTATGGGAACGCCCTGGTGGCCAGTTCACACGGCCTGAGGCAAGGGCGCCCTGCTGGAGTGGAGGTATGTGAGCTCCCACAGAGCAACAGCCTGAGCTGGGACTAGGAAGTGGGCTGACTGGGGTCTGCTAGGCCGCTAAAGAGCCACTGGCTGTGACTGCCCGGGGCCCTGGGTGGGTGGGTGGTTGTATGACCCCACCTTTCAGGTGCCACAAACTCTCTAGGGGACATATGCGTCGGGTGGGGGAAGCAAGCCCGAGGCTTTGGGGTCTTGGGCCCTCTGAGGCTGGCCCAGCTAGCTTTGTAGGACTGTCGTGGACCCATGCTATGGATCCTGGGCACTCAGAAGCATGGTCCAGAAACCAGGGTCCCTGTCTGTCTATGGCTTTAGTCCTAACACAGGTCTCATGGGAGGGGCAGGCTGCCCACCACAGACTATCACACTGTGCAGGACCCTCAATCTACCCAAGCTAGGGTGCTTCCCCACTCCCTTCTTGAGGCCTCCTCCAACCCTGGTCTAGGACTCTCTTCCCTAACCTTCCTCATTTGCTCCCCCCACCATGGGGGCAGGACCCTGGAGACAGATGTGGCTCAGTCCCACCAGAGGAGACAAGAGGTCGTCACTCAAAGTGTCTGGTGCCCAGGTAGCAGAGGCATCATTGCTTACCTAACGGTGACCCTCCTGAATGCTGACCTCAGGCATGCCAGCTGGAGACTTTGGATGATGCTCCCTGGAGCCCCCAGGTCACCCCGTGTCGGTCAGTCTGTGGATGTGGCTATAGCGGACCTGCTGGCCTCTCCTTACTCTGCCTCTTTGGGAACATGACAGCCTGTGGCACTAAAACTCCTATATACCCTTGGAACCCAGGCTCCACTTGCCCATGGGGCTGAAGATGATAATCAGTTACATCCAGGCATGCCTGGTGTTGGGGCTGGGGCCATTTCCAAGCGCTCCTCCATGGGAACAGTGGGGGCGGGCCTGCTCCCCAACAACCTCCATCCCAGCCTGGTCTGAGGAGGTGTTTCAGATGCACACATGTGTGACAGAGACTCATACCCAGGACACACAAAAGGAGACTGAGGCCCGGAGCCAGGATAACCATGTATCCAGGCACCTAAGATGGTCTGCCAATGTGGCTGCCTCCAGGCTCGCTCTCCAGATCGCCTCGGCTGTTGGCACAGATGACCTGGCACCTTGGCCTGGCCCTGGGGACAGTATTTGTCTTCTCCAGTTACCAGTAAATATTTACTGTGATCACTGTTCTCCGGGCCCTAGCAGACCCTGAGAGACATGAGAGGTGGACTCAGGGATGCAGAGGTTCACTTCTGCCCTTCAGGTCCTCATGCCCAATGGGGGTCCAGCCTAGAGGATAGAAAGCAATCCAAGACCATGTGGTTCTTAAGCCAACTTGCCCTGGGCAGCACCAAACTCTGACTGAAGGCTCTTTGGTTTGGTTATGAGTGGAGGGGGACCTCTGGGAAGCCTGTCCACAGATTCAGATGAGGCACACCCCAGTGCAGATAACTGTTTGCAGGGTACTTATTTATTATCTGGGAATTCTGGACAATGTCGCCAGAAACGGCTGTTCATAGATGTGACCAGCAGAGGGCACCAAACCCATGCTTTTGAGGCGCTCCAAATCCGCATGCCCAGTTGCTCATCCTTTAGGGGGCTGCGACTGGCTCTCCTTGTTCCTGGCACCGACAGGGACAAAGGGGCTGCCCAAAGGGTTGGTGGCTCTGGACTCTGGAAGTGTGAGGTGTGTGAAGAGAGAAGTGTCTCTAAAGGTGCTGGGTGTGCAGGCCCAGCCCGTCAGTCCCTTAGGGGTTCAGACGTCCCAGATGCCCACAGAGCAGATAGACAAATGTCCAGGTGTCTGCAAAGTCAGAGGATGTCTCAGGCTACAGACATCTCCTGCCCACCTAGACTTACAGACATCTGGTGGAGACTTCTAGGGCAACTCTAGCCAACCTCACACTATATAAAACTTCCAGGGGCTCAAGCCGCCTGTGTCCAGCTGGGACGCCTTGATGGTAAGGCCCCAGAGGTCTAGGGGATACTGAGACTTGGGGTCAAGAGGGGCCCGTGGTCCTTGGTCTGCTTGGAACTGCGTCAGCCACATTGGGAGGAAGGCCAAGTCCTAGTTTTCACATGAGGAGAGGGCTACAGGGACCCCAGGGTGCAGGAGGCCTCGGGCGGGATTCATCTGGGACAGGGTCAGCTCTTTCCCATGTCTAACCCTCCTTACTGAGAGGAGAGGGAAGTCAAGTCCGAAAAGAATGCTGGGGGTGGGGTGGCCAGGGGTCTGGGAGCTGAGGATCAGTCTCGAAGCAAGGTCTCCCCCCTCCCCCCCGCAGCCCACTATTGTTTCTGGCCTTGCCACAGAACAGCAAGGCAGATTCCTTCGAAAGTGAGGCTGTGGAGGTGGCCCAGTCATGCTGTGCTGGCGCCAAGTCCCCCAGTGGCTTCCTGCCAGCCCCTTGGAGTCATTGACCCACTGCTTGGCCCCCAGGTGACCTGGCCCTACCCCACCTTGATGCAAACAACTCATTTCTACCTTTCTGCTGGGGAACCAGAACGCTGTCCATGACCCACAGACCCTCAAGGCTGACCCTAGAATCTGGGCCTGAGCCATAGGGTTACCCAAAACAAATGAAACAAAACAAAACAAGACCCTCTCTCTCTCTCTCCAAGGGGTGGCAGGGGGACAAAGCCAGGGCTCATCAGACTAAGGGTTGCCATGGTGATTCATCACCTGCTCCCTCACCCAGAGGCTCAAAGTGTCTAGATCCAGCTAGCTGACCCCTGGGCCAAGGTCACAGACATTGGTGGTTGGTGGCTGAGCCAGCCAAGCCCCAATGGCCAAGAGTGGCTCCCAACCATGGACTGATGAGGGATTCTTTCCTACCCACACCTGTGTTTGCCAATGACAGAGATGGGTCTCATAGCTGCCCCAACCTGGAAGTCCGCAGATCCTTATGTTTCTGAGAGGCCTTGTCCCCTGCAGCCCAGTGGAGTCTTCAGAACCGCACTGCTGGCACCGACCCACATTCCACCCTGGCCTCCCTCTGTCCCTCCCAGCCCATCTGTGTTTGTGGACAACAGAGCAGGGGCCCGAAGCCTTGCCAGCTTGCGGCTTTTCCCGCTGAGACCCTGGGCTCTCCCCTCTGCTCTTCAAAGCCACCCTCACTTAGAACTCAGTCCTGTTCCAGCTGGGTCTCCGGCCCCCTTCCCACCCCCAAGGCCTACTGTGGCCTGGGCTGCTGGGAACCTGGAAAAGTCCTAGTTTCTATGGGGCCCAGGTCTTCAGCATGAGTCACAACACCTGATGGCCCAGCGGCAGTAAGGGTGGGCTTAGGACTATGAATAGACTGAGGCATGGGACCTGTGTGAGATCCCATTGATGGCTGCCTGGCCCTCCCCACACCTGACCTCTGAGGGCCAAGGACATCTCCGGCCAGACCCTATGAGGGTAACACAACCCAAAGGCACCATGTTTAGCAGCTAGGGCAGGCACGGTCCCCTTTGCTTCCCTTCCCTGGATGAGGAAAGAAACCTGCAGATATTAAGTCACTTTCCCAAGGTCACAGACCTAAGCCAAGGCATAAGCCTCTACCTGCCTGACCCACTGGCTCTCGCGCTTCAGCCCCACTGGCGCAAGGAGGCTGAGGGTAAATGGGGAATTAAGGATCTGAGGCCTCTTACCCACAGAACACACCACTTGTAGAATATCTGATGACGGTCACCCTTTGTTTTGGTCACAAGCAGCCCATGTTTCAGGCCTTGGGAAAGGAAGGGCTCGACACAAGTCCGTTGGCTCAGGGCAGTGACTGACCAGGGGTGATGGGGAGACCAATGTGGGCGTGCCTCAAGGCCACAGACTGCAAGGCTTGGATGCCTGTTCCAGGAAGCCTCCATGTTACCCATCCCCATCCCAGAGGATGGAGGTTGGAGGCCTCGACTCACCTTGGAGTGGACCATGAGAAAGGGGCTGGGCAAGAGAGCAAGCTTGGGGAGAAGCCAGCCAGACAAGGGTGTCCTCTGATCTTGAGGTCCATCATGAGTGTTGAGAAGGTCTTTCTTTGTGGCTCTTTGAAGCAGCCCTAGCTAGCGTTCCCCCACACCCCAGAGTCCCCTCAGGTGTCAGATTTTGCTTGAGCAGGAGCCTTTATAGACAAGTGTTCCAGGGCCACAGGTTGTAGAATACCCAGACTGCCTTGCCACATGGTTCTAGAAGTGAATGTTCTGCCATGAGCAGCTAGGTCAGCAGTGAATTGAACATTTAATTTTTAAAAAAATTTATTTTAGTGTTTGAGAGTATTGCCTGCATGCATGTTAAGTGCACCTGTGTCATGCAACGCCCATGGAGATTAGACAGGGTGTCGGATCCCCTGGAACTGGAGTTACCGACAGTTGTTAGATGCCGTGTGGGTGGTGGGATTTGAATCTGGCAAAGCAGCCAGTGCTCTTAACTGCTGAGCCATCTCTCCAGCCCATAGATTGAATATTTAGAAACACTTTTAGGTGCTCGGCAGCCTCCTGTGTGCCTCCCACACAGCACATAGAACTTGGGACATCAGAAGGGGAAATGGATCCTGGCAGTGAACTTTATTACCAAAAGTCAGCGAACAGAAGGTGGATTTGCAAAGGGGCAGTTACCAGTCCTTTGTGCCCGCTTCACTCCTGTGTGAATGCACAGAGGGGATAGCTATGAGGGATGAGCTCCTCAGCCTCCAAGAACAGGGTTTCCCAGGTCCTCAGCTGTGGCCTTAAGGCTTGTGAGAAGGTAGCGTCAGCCCTTAGGACGTGCTGGGGCTTGGATAAATACCGTATGTGGAGAAGGTTGTTTTTTTCTATGCTAGGCATTGAACCCAAACCTCACACATACAAGGTACTCTGGCCTTGAACTACATCCCCCAAGTCCCTGCCCTTTTCCTGATTCCCAAGGCTTAGTACCTAGTCAATTATTCCAGTGTAAAATGGATTCTGAGGCAAGGCAGACACTTTGTGAAGCTGCGATGCAATTACTTAAGTGACCACAAGAGGGCACTTGAATTCCCTTACCAGGTGCAGGAAGGGCGGACCGCCAATAGGTATTAAAAACAAAATTCATCACACCCTCCCTCCTTCCGGGGACCCCATTTCTGATCGGGGGTCCCTAGGATTCTACCTAAAATGACACGTTAATAAATTCATTTTTACTATGACTATGATATAGCTTTCTTAGAACTAAACAGGTGCTTCAAGGTATTCAGGGTTAGGTGGCTCTGGGTGCTCATTTAGCCACAAAGTCCTGGGACAGGAAAATAAAGCCAAGTTCTGTAAAACCAGGACGGAGGCAGAAAAGGGTCTCAGGTCCAAGGACGGGACTACAGCACCCACCTGTATCCCTATACCACCGAGAACCTCTCCCCTGTAGGCAGAAGGGTCCCAGCTCCGCCCCCCCACTATTTCCCCTCCCAGAATATCCCCAAATTCCCCCAAATAAGAGCTTTGAATAATGTCGTTATAATTCCAGAAATGACCACCAGATGTCAGCATGAGGCCGCTTTAGCAGTCCAGCGAAGAAAACTGGGTGCTGGGAATTTCTGGGGGGATACTTCAGTTTTGTGTTGCATAAACGAGGATCCGGCCAGACCCCCTGAATGAAATGACTCTCTCTCAGGCCTGACTAAGAAGGCTATTGCTATACTATGCCCTTCACTCTTGTACCCCCATATTTGTGGCCCTTTTCACCTGTGCCCCCCCATGAAATATCCATCAATACAAGTTATGATAAAGATCACATTCCTCAAATCCTAACTCACTGATGCCTGATGCCCCTTCCTGCCTCTGAAGCACCGTGGCTTAGCTGCTCCCCCCGTGGGGATCTAGCCTGGATCCTTTTCTTCCCCTTCCCCTTGGTTAAACATCTTGGGTTCCAGGACCTTAATAGAATAAAAAAAATCCTGGCCAGAGGTGGGAAGTCCAGGGTACAGCCTGGGAGGTATAAAATTCATTTGCTTGTAGGATTACGACCTGTAGATGTAGCCTGTTTTCCCTTCTAACCCCTTAACCGGTCTACCTGCTCAGACGGCACCCCCTCTTGTGGCGTGCCCATGGAGTCCCCTCATGGGCCTGGAGTAAGCCTTCGCCTTCCTCATGCCAACCTTCGGCTTGGTAAATCTTAGCCAAGTGTTCTCAGAAGGCCTCAGCCTTAGCTCCTAGCTGCACCCAGGCATATGGAAGCACACGCTAGAGGGCAGCACCTGCTACACACGTCCAGCATGAACTCCAAGGAGAGCTAGAGGCAGCACAAGGAAATGTTTTACCCTCAACAGGGGACATGGCCCTGCTGTGTGTTCCAGTATGACTCGGGGTCATTAGCATACCTGCATACCCCTCCTCAACTACAAACACTTATTTTAGTGAGAAGTCTTCCTCTCTTGGCCTGTGCTTTGCTTCTTCTCTCATGGGATCTAGGTCTGGGACGTGCATCGCTATCGTGCTGGGCCAGCACCATCAGATATGAGTCCCTCAGGTTTGACGATCTTTCCCCATTCTCCCTAAACGTGTCCTATCTCTACCACTAAGCAAAGGACTTTAGGTGGGACTTTGGACAACAAAGAGAAGAGGGAACGTTAAACCCTAACCTGGGCTGATAAGCTGGGTAAGGAAAAGAGTGATTAGGATGCAGACGTGCACAGGTTGGGGACTAGTGGGTCTCTGTGGGGTGCACAGTTCTTTATCTGTTCTTGAGTCTTTACCGCAAGCCCAGGGACAGCAGTTTCAGATTCCCAGTGAGACTTCATTCAACCAGGCAGTACTTCTATCTGAGCCCTACCCCAGCTGCTGTCAGCCCCCAGTCTGTGCTTTAAATGGAGTTTCGGCTAGGCTCCAAAGAGCATGAGCCCTGCCAATCATCCTACCCAAAAGGGCAGGCAACTGTCATTGCTGCATGCCACTTGCACCAGTATACTTAGCGCTTAGCATCACATGGGGGTGTGTGTGTCAGGTCAGATGTGCCCCGTGAAACATGAAACGACACAATGGCACTGTGCCACAGATGCACTGGAAGCACTTAAATAGCAATTTTAATATTTATTTTCGAACCCAGATTATTTAAATTAGGCCACGCCCCCTTTTTACCTGTGCCACGCCCACAGACATTCCAGGGTGTCAAGTGACTGCCAGGTGTGACGCCACATCCCCTCCCCACCCCCTGCACATAGTCCCCACCCCCACCTAACCGGAAGTTCATTTTGTTTCATGCCACGCCCACATTTACGTCTTTCCGCCTGTCAAGTATGGCCTGAAGCCCCGCCCCCTAATGCCCCCATGCCCTAGTGTGGGAAAGTGCCACAGTCAGCTGCCCCAGAAGGCCTAGCAGTACCGTGTTGGCATATCGTTTCCCAAATTTGGAGGGGCTTGGGGATGGGCGTGGAGGGGACGAGGAGGTGAGGGGTAAAGTCACAACCCCAATTGGCACTTGAGAAGGTGCCTGGCTCAGTGGAGAGGAGAACCCTCTTCTAGGGACCTGTTATCATGCACACTCTGAAAGTTCCTTTCATCGTCTCTCCAGCCTCAGCCTCGTCCCCTTCCACCTCCTCAACGTCGTCGACCCGGCTGGGGGGTCTGGGCACCACAGCCAGAGCACCCTCTGCTTTGGCGGAGGCTGCTAATACTGGCCCAGCCATCGGATCATCGTCCGGGCAATTTCGGCAGAGAGTCTTGGGCACCAGTGACTCCCCAGTCCTCTTTATCCACCGTCCGGGCGCTTCGGGGACTGCGAAGCGACTAGAATATAGGTAACTGGCTTTCCTGCCCTACCTGCTGCACCCTCTGAGTATGTTTGTGAAATTGCAATTTAAGCGTTCTAGCACTGGTAGGTGGGCTGGGGACTTGGGGTGCTTGGGATCCTGGTACCTGAAAAAGACCTGGTGGGTCTGGTGGGGCAAGCTACCTACCTAACTTCTGAGGGGGCAGGAATGATAATTGGGGAAGGAACTCCTTTTACAGGGCTGCAAAAAGTTACAGAGGGTTTTGCAAGGAAAGTTAAAATTTCCTTCACTAATCTGCCAGGCAGAATGGGAGGGGTAGGCCTGTTCTACCCAGCAGGAAGGAGTACACAGCTGTTTTTGCAAAATGTAAAAGGCAAGGGTTTTTCTGTTATGAGAAGTTTCTCTGAACGGGAGATTCTGGAGCAGGGCTGTGTGGATATGCACACACACACACACACACACACACACACACACACATACACACACACAATTGTAAGTAAAGGTTTCTTTCCTAACCTCCTACACCTCCTTACTATCATCAGGATACCAGAGAAATGGAAGAACTATGAAGGGACTAGGTCCCTTGAGATCCCCCAGCAGGGTTCTAAAAGGAAAGCTGCCTTCCTTTTTAACAGTGCAAGGGTCCCTGTGCCCCCCCAGGAGTCCCTGCCACAAATAAAAATTTGGGGCAGTAGCAGCACCCCTGGGTGCACATTCATTTGTGCATGAAGTTTTTCTTCCCGGCACCTGGGATCCCAGACTGCTTAATCCACCCAGTGTGGTATTTATGGGAAGGGGATTCATTTCCCTGAGAAGCCCAGCCACCCCTTCCAGGGGCTGTGTTCCCAAGTCCTTTGATCCCTGCTCACATCCAAGGTAGGAATGTTGCAGAGAGGAGTGGGAGACTTTCCTATTTTGTGCTGTGCCCCCCCCAAGGCAAGACTTTTGTGTGCAACACACCCACCCAATACTAAGGCAGAAGCTCACCCCTGACTGGGAAGGGACCAGCTCGTCCTTCCTGCAGGAGGGTCTCCTGCCTCTCCCTGGACAGTTGTCACACTTGGCACAGTGACTGCTCACCAGCTGCTTTCTCCCTCTACTTTGGAAAAAAAGGAGGTAGGCAGCTGCCAAGGACAGGAGGGGACAGAGTGACCCACAGGCTCCCTTACTCAGCAGCAGGGGAGGGGGTCAGGCTCAGCTGGAGGAAACCTGTTTTTTAAATAATCTCAAGAGGGGGCTTCTCTTCTCCCCCTCCCAGGGGCCGAGTGATCACCAACGAGCTTGTGGAAGAAGAGGACCCCAAGCCCCAGCAACAGGGTCTTGCATCTCCTCAGGCTGAACCACCTGCCCAGCCTGAGTCCCAGCCTGAGAACCAGCCTGAGAACAACCCTGAGCCCCAGCAGGCCAGAGCATCAAGCCCGGAGCCCAGCTGCTGCGGCCTGTGGCCCAGGAGATCCCCACGCTCACAGAACTGAAGCCACCCCCCCTTGCCCAGTCCCAGTCCTTCCTCAGAGGTGAGTGTCCATCAAGCATCCAGCAGGGCAGAGGCATCCCAGCACAGTTCTGGAGTTGCGATGGGGCTCCAGCACATACAGTCCCTGCCCCCGCCCCTCGGTTTTACAAGGAGCCAGCAGAGGCTGGGGAGTCTGTTCAGAGTCACATAGTTGACAACTGGAATTTTGGTGGGCTCCAGGTTCCTCTCCCTGGTCATGGAGATGTGGGCAGAGCAGGCTTCTGTAGAGTGGAGGTCTTCTGGGAGTCCAAGGGCTAAGGCGGCAAGGGCCACAGGGAAAGTCCAAGAGTCCAAGAGAAGGCAGGAGTTCCAGGCGAGGACAGCATTTGATAAGGAGAGAAAAAGAAAAGAATCATTAGCTAGAAGGAATTGGGAGGCGAAGGAAAGCTGGACTCGGGTGTGAGGCCCTGTTCTTCCTTCCCTGGGCTGTGCAGCTGCAGCTGTGGTACCCTGTACCAGTGGCTTGACCTCTCTGTGTCGATTCCTATTTGTCAAAATGTGCGACAGTCTCAGGCCTTCTGGTTGAATAGTGAACGGCAAATGAGATAATGACCAAAGAGGCATTCTGAGACCTGTGGAGCGCCTTAGGAGTGCTGGTGTCCTGATTCCATTGTGTTCTGAAGGCCACCGGGCTTCCTGTGTTGAGTGGGGGGTGGGGGTGGGGGACAGCTAAAAAGGGCCTGGGGCCAGAACCAGCGGTGATTCTGTCAGAGCAAGTGCTTCTCGCCTTGTTGGTGGCTGTGCAGCTCACTGGTCAGGTACTGGGGGCCGGGGGGCGGGGGCAGAGGCTTTGTGTCTCAGGGAACACTGGAGGTTGCGGGGACAGCATGGGTCTGTGTCCTTGTGCCTGAGTTACCAGTGGCACAGGCCTCCCCCAGCATGCAGGGTGGTAACCTAACCACCTTTCAGGCTCCATGTCATGCCAGGAAGAAGCTAAGACTCTTCTCTTAAAGGTTGGTTGAGGCAGTAAAGCGGTAACAGAGTGATGTGGCCTCAGTCCATCCCCAGCACATCCCTCTTCTTATGTCCCATTTCCCTAGTGCCCCCACAACCAGCCCTTACTTACTTTTGGCTTTGGGTGTGTTGGTCGGCTGGTGGTGCCAACCTCCTGTCGGTGGTTCAGGTCTGTGTCTTGATCCCTGGCTTCCCAGGCTGACACCAAGCAGTGCCTGGGTCCTCCTGGTGCAGAGTCCTCCACCGTCCAGTCTGGGAGCCGAACAGAGCATGGCCTCTGTGGCAGGCACCCTGCAGGGGGTGAGGGAGGGCAAGGCTGGGGACCCTCGGAGAACCGAGCTGGGTGTGTAAAATGCTGGACTTGCTCTCAAGGAGAGAGGGGAGCAGCTAACTCAGAGTCAGCAAAGCTGGGAGAGGACCCAGGGATAAGAAAGGCCCGCTGCCTCCCCGAGAGAGGACAGACAGGCAAGTCTAACAGAGCAGAGCCGCTGGCTAGGGGTACAGCCTGGTTTAGCGGGGGAGTCTGAGTCTTGAGGGGTATTCAGTTTCCTCAGAATTCAAGCTTTTAACCCGGGAAAGCTGACAGGGTCTGCCCTGCTGCAGGGATGGGGGCTGCGCTGAAGTAGTCTGGTGGGTCAGCCCCATGACATCCTAAAGCTATTGTAAAACCCTTCCTACCTGGGGGTGAGGGGAGCAAAAAATAGGGGAAAGTAGAGGGCCTTGGGGTCAGAATGCAGCCGCTCTTCTGGCTGGGGGTGGGCTGTGCGCTTTTGAGCCCTAGGTTGACCCGGAACTGCACCAGCCTCCTGACTGCCCCTTGAGCCACCTTGACTAAATAAGGCCAGGCAAGGCTCTGTAGGCAGCCTGGAAGGGGAAGAAAGCACATTCCCCCCCCCCCCCGCTGGCTTTGGTATGGCACCCATGCCCTGATGACTCGGCAATGGGCACCTCAAGGTGACCTCAACGTCTACCTACCTGGAACAGTCCAGAAGCACATCTCCGAGGGTGTCCGTGTGTCTTGTTCGGGGTGAGGACTTCTGTGGGGCAGAAGGCAGAGAGTAGGCCCCGAAAACAGGCCACTGGTATGACTTCCGACCTCCCAGACCTCCACAGGAACAGGAAAGCAGGATTCCAAAATGGCGCTTTGGCCCCAGTGTCCCTGGTTCATCCCCAGCCAGGACCACATACCTGGGGGGAAGTGAAGAATGCCCCAGTTGGACCTTGGGAGCCTGGTCTGCCTTTCTTCCTAACAGAGACCCTCAGTAGCAGAGGCTTTGAAGCCGGCTCTGGCCCCATTAGGTCTCAGAGTATGGATAAGCACTTCTTTTTTTTAACATTCCGCACCCCAAAACTTACAAGTCTCCCTGGATTGTGGAACATCACCACACCCCAGTCTTCCTAGCTAGAGGCTTCTTCATCTATAGGCACACACCCAGGCAGGCCAGAAAGCCAAGGACAGAGGCTGCAGGAGGCTGGTGGAGGGGGGGCAGCATGGGTGGGGGGAGACAGGCCAGATGTTCTTGGAATAGGACACGGGGGTGATTGATGCTGACTGGAATTTGAAGGGGGAACATTCCCCGCGTGCCTCATGCTCCGGGTGGAAAACGGGGTGGGGGGAAATCTCTCACCCCTGCCAAGCTAACTGAAGGAGATGCCTCACCCTGTCTGGGTCCCCACACCTGTCCAGTGACATTAACTCCTGCCTCCCCAGAGTGTCAGGCTTTGAGAAGCCTCCCCTTATTCCATCCCAGGACTCTCTATGGGCGACTATAGGAAGAAGCAATGGTCACAGGCATGGCCCTAGGGTCCCCCCGCCCCCCACTGTGCTGCTACTCAGCAGCTCCCCCTTCGACACCCCGCCCCAGGCCCTGCTAGAGTCGAGGCCCTTCTCCTCCAGCATTGCCCAACGCTGAGGGGGTGGCCTTCCTCCCAGCACCAGCAGCAGCAGCACGGTGCGCCAGCGTGTGAGTTTGATATTTGCCTTTAAGGAGCTGGACTTTCCCCAGACCGCTTGGAGAGGCTAGTGGCAGAAAACCTCAGAGAAAAGGAGAGGAGACCCTTGATACCACCGTGCTGTTGCGCCCCCCCCCGCGCCCCCAGTTTCTCTTGCCCTGATTTCCCCATTTCCTCTCCTCTTTCGCGGTGCCCAAACAAAACTGGTTCTGTTGTTAGGAGGCTGGCAAGGCCGGATAAGCGCGCGCGGGGGGCACCGGGGGTGGCCGTCAGGGGTGCCCAGGGCCCCCAAGCCGAGCTAGGGACGAGCCTGCCCCCGGCGG